AAAAAAAAAAAAAAAAGTGGAAAGCAACTTGGTTTACACCTCTAGAACAGAGGCTGCAAAATGGAAACAAGTAGAAAGCATATGAATATTGGTTTTCTATTACATGTAATTTTTATGCCTCTTTCAACAAATGTTTTAGGTGCCTGCTAGAATCTTTTCGAGTTTTATCTTCCCATTACTAATTAGACTTCTATGCTTGATGTTAGGCCTAGGTGTGGGTGTGTCGATCGGGTTAGATCGGATCGGACCTGACCTAGACAGTTCGGGTTCGGTTCTAATCATTACGTTTAAAAATAAAAAAAAATCATGAGCTTACTGCACAACTTATCTTCACAATATGTAACAGGAATAGAATAAATAAAATATGCCACGAAATATCATCTGTCACCAAATAGCATCCAATACCTAGCATAGCATGAACACCAAATTAAGCACTCAAAGAACAAATAAAAAATTAGAAATCAATAATAAGAATGTACTAGATTCTACAAATGCTAAAAACAACATATTCATTTATCTGAAAACAACATAAGAATCAACATTGCCTCTTTTTAGTTCAACTAAAAAATTGAATTAAACTCTAAGTCAAAGTTATTACATTTTATGGGACCAAAAGCTTTTCAACAATACATTCCATTGATTTGTATCAAATTCTACTAAAAATCTGATTTTTATCTAAACCAAATAGGGGCGTTGTCTACTTTTCTTTCCATCCCATCGGGTCATTGGATCGAGGTCACTAAATTGTAAAAATTAAAAAAAAAAAAAAACTTGTAAAAAAGGATAAATTCGGTTTCAGGGTTGGGTATTGACGGTTTTTGTTCAAGAACCATCCGAGACCCGGTCGGTTCTCTTTCTCAATTCCGGTTTCTAATTTTTTTCGGGAAACAAACTGGAATCTCTGTTTCCGGTTCGGGAAGTTTAATTCTAGTTAAAATTCCACCTCCACTTGATGTAGAATTCTATATGTTGGGTTATGGACACCACATATCTCCACATTGGTATGATATTGTCCACTTTGTGCCTAAACCCTCATGGATTTGCCTTTTCGCTTTACCCCAAAAGGCTTCATACCAATGGAGGTACTTGTCCATCCTCATAAACCCATCATATTTTCCATGTCTAGTCGATGTGGGACTTCTTTTACTCCCAACAATCCTCCTCTCAAACGAAGGACCACATCATTGTGATGGAGTAGCCCACTTGAGTTATATGATGGATTTTTTTTCTTCTCCCAACCGATGTGGGACTTTCCAACAATCCTCCTCTCGAACTAAGGACCACATCATTGTGGCATCCCCTCAAACGATAATCCATCAGCCAATCATCTTGTACCGTCATTATTGTCGTCACCCTCGACCAAACGGGACCCGCCGCCTGACCATCATATTTTTATGTCAGGAAGATTTTCGACACAAGGCACCTCAAACGCTGATGATTTATAGCCAAACGCAAGGCTAATTAAGGCTAATTAGGAGGGGACCTCCACCACGCTTTCCGCTGCGTTCCTTTGGCTAAGATTTTGAGCCCTGGGCTCTGATACCACTTGTTGGGCTATGGACACTACATATCTCTACATTGATATGATATTGTCCACTTTGGGTCTAAGCTCTCATGGATTTGCTTTTGGGCTTTACCCCAAAAGGTCTTATACCAGTGGAGATATTTGTTCATCCTTATAAACCCATCATATTTCACATGTTTAGCCAATGTGGGACTTCTTTTACTCCCAACACTATATGATATGCATTCTAACTTTCAAAGACGAGAATATTTAAGATAGGAGATACGTGGTTAGAAAACTAACATTAAAATTGCACATGACTTTCACGTGACTAAAAATTAAAGGACAAAATTATCAAATCACTTAACAATTCATCTGAAAGTTGAGTGCAAATTTAAGGTTTATAGTAATTGTTTTCTTCATGTGCAGACCCATAATCACACAGTTAAATAAGTCGAAGATTTCAAACCCATATTTTTCACGCTACGTGAAAGATAAAATAGAAGGAAAATGGAAAACAGTTCAATGGAGAGATGGACGAAATATGTTGCAACTCATCTAAGTTGCTTGTTGTCTACATGAACTATTCTCTAGTTACTTGAGTCAGTTTTATATAGGAATATAAATGTAAATTATGAAATAAATTTACAAACTACAATCATTGCATTGGAGTCGTGCATAANATTGTTTTCTACAGTAAATAATCTCAACCACATATTCACTCAATAAAATATTCTACACACAAATCAATAAAGTTACTTTAAATTTCAACCACACATTCTCCAAAAAATACTATTCCTTACTCCATTGTTCTACCAATAATGGTAGACAAACAGACTCTTAGATTCAAACTTCCACTATTATCTCAATGTAAACTGAAACTTAGCCTGCTGAATACTTCCATGTGGTAATTAAAGATGATGCAACTTCTGCTATTACTTACTTGTACATGGAACTGAAAGGTGTAAGGAAAAAAATTGTCATGAAATGTTATCTAATATTTCATGTGTATTATGATTAGGTGAATAATAAAAACCTGACTTTAAATTGCAGGTCTGTAAAGCCAAGTATGAGGACTTGCAAAAGCGTTATTCTGGCTCCACGTAAGTTGAATACTCTAACTCGTGAACTAATATGGCCTCCTCTGCGATTTGGAATCAAATTGACATTAAATGTGACATGTTGAAATTGATCATCTTATCTGGCTTATTAATGTTATTGTTACCTGTCATCGATGGAAGCATCTTCTAATTGAGACTTGTGGCATCAAGTCATTTGTGCTTTTAGCAATTACATCTTTGTCTCCTCGTTTTCGTGCTTTCCCTCAAACCACTCCCTCCTCTCTGACCTCCTTTTTAGGAATATGTCCATCTCTATCCAAATATGTAGGCAAGTTGGTTAATTATGTCTCGAGTGCGAAAAAAAATTTGTTTCCGGATTCTTACTAGGAATTACGCTGAGTGATTAATGTTCTTTTCATTTCTTGGTCTTTAACTCCCAGGGCTTGGTTTGAAGAGCTAAGAAATCGCCGAGTGGAGGAGCTGAAGAGAGAATTAGCTAGATCTGAAGACTCAATAGGGTTAGTAACATTATTCTCTTCCACTGATGTAGTGCTTGTTAAAACTTCTTTGGTTATTATCCAAAATACGTGGCCAAAATGCATGCGCACATGCATGACCATCTCGCCCTGGGCTGACATTTTCCCATTTTATTTTTCATTCTTTTCCCTAATTACTTTCTGCAGCATACGTTAATCTTTTTTAGTAATGTTGTTACTTTGCTTTATTATCAGGTCTCTTGTGTCAAAAATAAAAACTCTGGAGGCAGAGAAACAACATTCAAATCAGGCTGATTATAGTTCCCTCCAGTCTGAATCTCCTCTACTAAATTCAGGCAGCGTAGAGTCTTTTGGCAAAGAGACATCGAAGGACGAACACTCTGCTGGAAGCTTTACGAAAGATACCAGGACAAGTACAAGCTGGTTATATGAACGTCCACATCCAGTGACAGTGTTAGCTGCGGAAACAGATGTGAAACCCAATGTTTCATTTTCCTCTGAGCAGGATAAAGATCTAAGCATTCAGACTGGGCAAGGAGTGCCTATCAGGAAGAGAAGAGGCCAGAGGAAGAGGAAGGACTGTAATAGAGATGCCAAAGAAGGGAGTGTCGCAGAGAGTGACAACTTGGGTTCGTCCAATGCAGCCTTGACTACATGGAAGGATGCATCTACCAGTGATTGTCATTGGATTACAAGAGAATCCAGTAAAGTTAATCATAATGGAGATTCATATACTTCGAGTAGAGATGATTTGATGGAAATTTTTGATTCAGTTGCCTCGAGTGAACTGGCCATGGTCTTTAGACATCGGATGGACAGTCAGGTACAAGTGCAACAATTTCTCTTGGACTTTATTGAATCAATACATTCTAGTGGATTGAAATTATATCTATTGTGAATAACAGAAACGAGCAAGATATAGGAAATTAATCAGATGCCATGTAGATATCAGCACGATAAGATCAAGCATCATTGGACATTCCATAAGATCTGCTAAAGAACTCTTCAGGGAATTGCTTTTGCTTGCAAACAATGCCCTGGTGTTCTACTCGAAAAGAACTCGAGAGTACAAATCAGCAGTGTGTCTCAGAGATCTGGTCATGAAAAAATACCGGCAGCATTTCAGAAGCTCCTCCAACAAAGCTACATCTGCCCTGCTTCCTATGCGACCAATGTCTAATCCTCCTGTGAAGCCTCGGAGTGCACGTCCACGCCCTCGTCCTTTTCCATGCAAAGATAAAATCACCGAGAAGTTTCCCAGTGATGATAATCTAGATCCTGCTACTGCCGAGGAACAGAAAACACCATATAATTCGGAGTTAGATATGTCGTTGCAGTGCTTGTTAAAGGCTAGGAAAGACATCAAATTGCCAGGAAAGCCGAAAGTTGGGTTGGATAATTCATGGCCTAAGTCTCATGTAAAAGAAAGAAAACGAATTCGACAAAAGTGATAGCCACCATTTGTATGAATTTTGTGCATGCATATTACTCTCTTATTTGTGCAAAATGTCTCTTCATCAGTTGTTTAAAGATTACTTTCTAAAAATCAGGTTTTAACTTTATTTAATCAAAAATCATGTTTTTATCATTTTAAATAATAATGACATTATAAAATTAAAATAAATTATATACCCATCAT